TTTCTGGCCAAACTAATCGGAGTTGGCACTGAAATGAGCGTTTTTCAAAAAAATTTGGCATTGAAGTGATCAAAAAGAAACTTTTGGCATTAAAGTGAGCGTCGTACACAAGTTTTGGCACTTCTGCTGTTCTTCTCCCTAAAATGGGTTTATACATATATTATTTGCTCATGACTGTATTGCGACTGTTTGTTCATAATGGAGTAGTGAGATTGCATTGTTTTATTTATCATATTTGGAGCATACTTCCTAGTATCATCCCATGTTCATTGCTATACTATCAGTTGCTCTTTTATACTCAATGGACGAGTACTTCTTTGGACATGATAGCAGGTCATAACAACATAAATTATGTCTCTAATGTTGAGATTGAGAAATAGAATGCATATAAAACAAAAGAGATTGGAAACAACTTGCACTTCATTCATGTCATACTCCATGTGGACAAATACAAAACATATTGAAAACATATACTAAAATAGCTTATATAACACAATCAGTATTAACATGCCTTATGACAAGTTCATTACATCATTCACCTTCAAATTTCCCAATAAAATGTTTCCTAGAATTACTATAAACACCATGAGACAACCAACATTGTCTTCAATGTCGTATTTTGTTTCTTTAGCTTTGTCGCATCTTGTTTGACACATTTCAGTTGTGTTTGAGAGCTCCGACTTCAACGTCCATTGAATTGCCATCATCCTCATTATGGGCCGACACAGGTTTTTCTTTAACATTGCTCCAGTGAAAATTTTTTGATACACTTCTTGCCGATAGATTAATTTCCGCATCAACCCATATAAAAAAACCGCAATTTTCCCCAATCCTATATATCAGACATCCGTGATATCTTCTTCCTCGATTCTTCTTCGTCTTTGTTGTTTGTAGTGAACATTTCAGGCCACAATAGTGAAGCACATATGTATTGTTGTTGATTAGAGGGACTGATGTTATTGATTGTGACGAATTCAATGATATTTTTAAATGATTGTGATGATTGTATCGGGCTGTTATTTTTGCTTTCAGAATCAATACCAGTCAGAGCATTCCTAACCTGTAAAGATGTTATATATTCACTGGTGAATATCAGAGAGCTCAGCGAATTTTAATGTATAAACAAAGGAAACATACATAGCAACTAGAAGAATGAAGTTCTATAGTAAAGAAATTAGATCAACTATTGTTTTTCCATACTCAACCTGATTTACCAGCTACTATAGCAAAGAAGTTCAACAATAGCAACTGAGCACTTATCTTCCTATCAATTCCAAATTATCGGCATGCATCACTTGCACCCACAAAAAACTTTTATATTTGTAATGATCTGCCCAAGGATTCAAATTGCTTCCCCGTCATTGACAAGTTCCATCTACTGCTAAATGAACATGTCATTATCATTAGGGTATCACTAATGAAAGCAATGAGAATAAGAGTATGTAGTTCAACAGCAACAGCTATTGTTGATAAATGAACATGAACATGTCATGTAGCTCAGCATATATCTCCGTTGCACTAAGATTATGTATTACTTGATAATTTCACAGATGAAAGCATGGTCCACATATAAAATTAACAAAGCATCCAAAATAGCAGCAACATGACATTGATAGCAATAAAATTGAATTAAAATAGAATTGGTCTCATGTAGACGATATGATCCACAACGGGTCAAAACCTATGTCAACAATTTTCCCAGCATAAAGATGCGTGAATTTTTTTGAACGAAATCAAACAAGCTGTGACCATCCACATCCAACCCAAGAAACAAAACTCTAGCGAAATAAAGATGGCTAAAGCCATGCCGTAAATGTAAAGTACAGCAATTTCAAGAAACAAGAACTTCAAAAAATTTGGGTGAGTAGGCAAAGGCGTTCGGCAAGCGTCGAGCGAGCATTGGGTGAGCGTAGGACAAGTGTCGATGAGGGCGTCAGGTGAGCATCGACTCAGAATTGGGGCAAAAATTTTGAGATCAATTTGGGGAAGATTTCTATTTAGGGTTCGTGAGATCAATTTGGGAAAGAAACTCAGCCATTTTGGTTCTTGAGATCTCCAGCCAAGCCTCATACTGTTTGGGGCTTCTTGAAGTCTTATATATATATATATATATATATATAAAAGGTGTCTTGACTAGGAATTCACATCAGACTTTTCTAATTAATAATAGTTGGATGAACTGAATTGGCGTAAGTATAAAATGTTTTGGACTTAATTGACAGAAATACAATAGATTTATGACTATTTGGTAATTTTCCTATTAATTGTGATAAATCTTAAATATTAGCCTAGCTATTATCTTTATAAATGGTTAAAAAATCTATTCCTTTTGAAGGGAAAATTGAGGCCGGGGGGGGGGGGGGTGGGGTGAGGAAAAGAGAGGGAGAGAGAGAGAGAAAGAATTGAATAAAAAAGTAAGGGAAAGTTTTTCGGAAGGGCGTAGATTTAATGAAAAAATTTAACTAGTGAACAAAAAAAGCCATCAATCGTCTTAATTAATAGGAAGATATATGAACGTTCTAAATTTTTTTAACATGATATTAATATGAATGAGAGATTAACTCTAGAGCAAGTTTAAGCATGTAGAGTACTTACAAAGTTGAGCTCAGGCTCAAGCTTGAGAGTCAAATGTATCATAGGCTAATATCGCAACTTGATTTCCAAGTGCAATTTGAGCAATAAATTACGTCAGATTAACTTAGCTTGATGGTACCCTCTGTTTTTGTTTAAGTACCGCTATTGTTCATATTCTTAAAGAAAGTGATTAAATATTTCAGAAACAAATATGTCCTCCATTTCGTATACTCATGCATTCAAAGTACCAGCATTTTCTTTGTGAATGTTTTTGACTTGTGAGGCTGAAAAAGTGAGTTAAATTTGAGCTGTGCCTAGTGATGGCTGCGATGCCCTTGCCCAGACCAAGTGAAGGTCGGTCGGCAACCTCACCGGTCCAGGGTTAGAAAAAAAAATTCATAAGTATTTTCAAAATTGTCCATGTCAGTGTCAATCATGCCGCGTAAGACGGTTGGGACTGCCGGCGTTCACTAGACCGTTAAGTCAGCAATTTTCAGCCAAAATTGGCCGGAAAGGCTAAATTGACAAATCGTCAAAAGGAGTCTAAATTGGCCAAATTGAAAATTTATAACTGCATTGGCTTAGGTACAATAAGTTTGAGATTTTTTTGGTACTTTTCGTAGATAAAATTTGATAATGAAAAAAGATTTTCTCCCCACAAAACAAATAAAAAGTAATCAAACGCAAATACCACGCCATAAATTTCGGATGCACTTATACAGGTCAATTTATTGTCACTTTCAAATGGATTAAGTTTGATTTTCCTCGTTACTAGTTCGATGGCAGGCAAGACATACGTGGCTGCAAAAACGATTTTCTTCTTTCTTTTTTCGTTTGGAATTATATTTTTCAAGCACAAAAATCGAATTAAAGGATCACATCTGGTAAGCACTAGAAATAATGCCACATTAAGAGGAAAGTAAGCATTCCTAATCAATGCCAACAAGGCAACGTTTAGACCTTCGATTCTCCCCTCAAATTGCGATTTTCATGACTTGATTAGAATACCTCTCATTTGTTGGGTAAGAACGCGTCTGAATTCCGAAGCTTATATTTATTAATGACGTAGCATGAATTTGACTGAATGTATGAACAAGTTAAGTATCTTGGTTGGGAGTGTCAGAATTTAGCATTAGTGTTAAATCAAGACTGCTTTGCTTCAGAACAGGCAATCAATCTAAACAAATTAGGAATTTTTTTCAATAGGGGGTATCCTCAAAGCTCAAGTAATAAAATGGCAAGAGAGACCAGAGTTCAAGAATTAAGCAATACGGTGAAGTATCTGGCATAGCATTAGACTGGGTGCCTCAAAGAGGTAGATGTTTGCTTGGTTCTTAGGAAGAGTCAACAAGAAACTAGCAGGGTGGAAGGAAAAACCGATATCAAAAGCTGGAAAGGAAGTTCTTATCAAACCCATAGTTCAAGCTGTACCACAGTATACTATGTCTATTTTTAAAATTCCACTATTAGTCTGTAAAGCCATAGAACAAAAACTTGCAAACTTTTGGTTGAGAATTTGCAAGTCAGTATGTGAACCGGTGCACGCGAGCTCTTCGGAGTGCGGTTGACGTCTCATTTTCCGGCGGACGACAGCCCACTTGGTTCCTGTAGATCGGTGAAAGAAGCTTCGGGGGCTAGTGGGGCTTTGGACTCCTTTTCTTTTTGGTGTGCACGTCTCGACCAAGAAGACCCTTTTCTTCGTTTTCCGTTTTAATTAGTTCTATCCTATAGTTGACTTTTTCAACCTTTATTTTTGTGATGTTTGGGCATGATAAAAAGAGTGTTGACTGGAGTCTTTACTAATAATACTAAATTTGGCCAGTGCCTATGAAGCACTCTTAACGACATTGTTTTGTGGTTGTTCATAAGACCCCATTTAGGAGTCAGATTTCTTTTATTATCAACAAGGCATAGAGAAGCTAACATTGCTGGTGACCCCTTCTCAGCGTTACCGTAAATGCCTTGTTTCTACGGAATGTTGAGCTCAATAGCTACCACTCCGTACCACCTGCGACCCAAAAGTCTAAGTTGGAAACTCATTACCAAGTCTCACCAAGATATTAGCAGCCAAAAAGTCTGTGTAATGTATGTACACGAGCCGTTTAGAGGTTCGCTTATGACATGATTCAAACTGGAGATCAAAATTCGATCAATTGGATGAATGAAGTGAAAGTTATTTGACCTAACTCAAGAGACGCTTAAAAAGTGTGATGATGACTACCTTATTATATCAGGAAAAATATATATATACACACACGGTATATACACACGCACCACCTTTTCAATTATATTTTCTAGTTATTTCATTGATATCTAGTTCAAACATAAAATATATCGATGTATAGATAGCTAGAAAGCATGCGATCCAACATGAAAATAGCCTTCTATAAACGACCACAAACAACATAAATTAGTAACCCAAAACATAGTAACGAGAACGCATATTGATAGAGGACAATAAACTTTGTCTCAGCTCAGATCGAGAGTTCTGACTGAATTCAATTGTCTTAACTACCGAAATATTTCATAGATGGAGCATATAACTCGCACTTATTTAACGTAGATAATTTTAGCGGGACCAGATCACAGTGGATAGGCTTCAATGATGGATATCAAGGAAGGGGTTTTGATGATGTTGTAGCGAGGAAACCCTCCCTCCTCCAAGATCTTCTTCCACTCGAGTTCGTCCCTCTCCTTACCGCCCGTGCAATGCGCCATCATGACCAGATCCAACACTAGTCCCGTCCCATGGAGCATGCCGTCGCCCTCTGGTTTCAGCACCATCTCTGCTATGATCACCTTGCCATTCTTTTCTGGGATTGCTTTTCTGCAATTTTTTAAGATCTTGACGCAGTCTTCGTCCCCCCAATCATGCATTATCCCCTGTAAAACAAAAGACAGAGAATTACTGGAGCGTGCATCATGGTTTCTTTTTACAGTCCTTCATCGGTGTGTTCATTGTGTAATCTCTATGCTTTTGAAGAGTTGACATAACTGGCTAAAATGTAACCAGACGTTTTCAGAAAAGAAGGGAAAGAAAAAATCTTGCTCCTCTCTCTCGCTTGCTCTACACAGAAGGCAACCTCAGTGAAAGCCCATCGAAATCGTCATCAATGGCGGGCGATTTGCCGATGCTATGCAAAGAAGAGTGAGAGAGAGTGAGAAGAGAGGGATAGTAGATATGGACCGATTTGTAGGGCTAAGGGTAAGGTCTTTTACTTTTTGAGGAGGATTTTTTTAATGCTAAGTTTAAGGCCATGTTTTCCTTCATCCCTATTGGAGTATGTTTTCTCCGATTAGTCTTTTGACTGGATGGATTTAATTGGCAAAACGTTAAAAGTTTTAGGATTCAATCGACACAATTAAAAAGTTTGGGACTAAATTGATAAAAGTACAATAGATTTATGACTTTTTTGGTAATTTTCCCGAAACTTTTGAAATCCCATCAATTGAAAGACTATATCAGGAAAATTATCAAAAAATTCATAAACTTATTGTAATTGTACCAATTCAGTCCTCAATCTTTTGCATTGTGACAATTCAATCTATCTGTCCAATTTTGGTTGGCCGGCTCTGACGTGGCAATTTTTAAATAAATTTGCAATTTTTTTTATTATTTTCTTTTTCCTTTTCTTCCTTCTTTTTTTTTTTTTTCCCAAAATGGCCGGTGAGGCTTGTGGCCCTCACCAAGATTTAGGCGAGGCTAGCCTTGCCAGCCACGGGTGAAGGCAGCCTTGCCCCTAATTGGCGAGTTTAAGGCCAAGGTTTCCTCCATCACTATTGGAGTATGTTTTCTCTAATTAGTCTTTTGGCGCGATATACTTAATTGGAAAAATGTTAAAAGGTTCAGGACTCAATTGGCACAATTAAAATGTTTATAACTGAATTGACAAAAATACAATAGGTTTAGGTGTTTTTCGATAATTTTCCCAAAACTTTTGAAATCCTACCAATTAAAAGACTAATTAGAGGAAATTTTCTCCAATTAGAAGTTGAGAAAAATAAAGTTTTTTTATTCAAAAACATGATGCTCGGTCCCCACCGCGCTTTTATGGCTTTTAAATAGTGCTAGTTCGAGATTACACAAAACATATTTACCTACGCAACAAACTAGATGGTAGATACACGAATTATGTGCAATCCGAGATATATTTAACTTGAATAATTTAGAACATGGCAAGGACTTCGGGATACCACTATACATATGGTGTGTGTGTGTGTTTACTTCATTCAACAAATAGAGTCACATGGAACTGTTTTCCTATAAACTTGATTACCCATAAATAAGGACATAAAGGAAAAAATAAATACATCAGCACATCACTTTAGAACGCCTATGAGTCGGCAGAAAAGGTGGATCTTGAGCTATAATTGTACGATAGATAAGCGAGTAGTTACAAGTAACTAAAATCATTCGACCGGGTCAGACGAAAGGGAATTACAAAACGAAAAGACGCACATTTCAAAATGAAAAAAATACACATTACTGGAAAAGTTATTGTGTGGTTTATAATCATGTGGATCAATATGATTGAAATCATTAATTACGTGAGTTTTATTATAAGACCTATATGATTAAGAATCCAAACAGACTTGACTCTCATATGATTTATAGATTATGAAATAAATTTTCTCTGACTTATGGCATTTCTCGAACAGAATTGTTACCATAGATCATGGATTACCACCCTTTTGACAAATTAAAACGACAGAAATAAAAAAAAAATGATCATGCGTCATAGGGAAAATGCAAAATTCATGAATTAATTAATATGTATAAAGTATCTGGCGATAAAACTCACCTTCATGAAAACTGTATCAGCATGCGGTATAGTCTTAAACATGTCTCCTCCAACATAAGTGACTCCATTGTGCGCCGGTGCCGTTGCAATGACGTGAGGCAGATCAAAATTAATCCCCTGAATGTGTGGATATGACTTAATGATCTCGGCCAGAGTCCTCCCGATCCCCCCTCCGACATCGACCAAAGATCCAATGCTCTCAAAGCCGTCCTTATATCCTTCCATGATGGCCTTGATCAAGATCTTGCTCACACATGCCATCCCATCGTTGAACAAGCGGTTGAACTCGGGATTCTCCGATGCGAAGTCCCAAATCTTGCGGCCATGAGCCATCTCGAATGCGATGCCGCCAGTCTTGACACAGTCGCCGAGGCAATGCCATGGGGACATTAACCATGGGTGGTTTTCCATCAGCACCAACGGTGCAAGGCTGAGCTCGGACCCAGGCCCCTGGAGGAGCCATTTCGACGATGGGGTGAGGCTGTAGAGTGTCTCCTGAGTCTCATGGCCACCATCGGGTTGGCAACCATGAGCGGAGAAGATGTTATTGTGGACAAGGAGTCTCATGATGCGCGCCAGGTAGGCGGTTCCGGGGGACGGGGAGGGAATGCGGGAGGCTATTTGGGCTAGGGTGACCGGCCCGCCGCCGTAAGAATGGATGATGTCGGGTATTCGCAGCTCGACCGCGCATTTCAGCGCCATCGAGTCGGCGTATGCGTACATGAGCTTCCATATGTGTGCTTGGCCTCTTAGGGTTGCTTCAGTTTCATCAAACGATTCCATTCTCTCTCTCTCTCTCTGTCAGCTATCTTTGGTTTGGGGTTATGCTACGAGGAACGAAGAGAAGAGACGAGAGGCGTCGCAATATATAGGGTCGAAGCTACCAGATTATGTTCAGATTTGTTTTTTTCTTTTGGTCTGTAGATTATGTTCAGATATCGATTTGGTGATTGGTTGACAAAGCGGAAAGAGAGAGAATTCTAGAAGTGCCTTCCCTCTTTTCATGCAACACCGGATTACGTGTTTTGCTTTTTCGTCTGTGCTTAGTCTTAAATACAAAAAGTAAAGGGGAAGTTTTACAGGCGGGGCATAGATTTCATTGAAATTTTTTTATTCATAAGTGAAATTCGCAGCCAATAGCTTTAATTAATAGAAAGATACATGAACATATTCATAAGAAAATTGAACATGATATTAATATGCTCGAGAGTTTAGAGCTAGAGCTTGTTTAACCATGTAGAGTACTTACGAAGTTGAGCTCAAGCATAATCTTGAGAACCAAACGTATCATAGGCTAATGTCACATATTGATTCCTTAGTGCAATTTGACCAATAAATTTCGTCAAATTAAGGTTCCGTTTGTTTGGTGGAAAAAGTTACGTTTCTGAAAAATATTTTTCTGGAAGTCATTTTCCTGGACACAATTTTCTGATGTTCGGCTGAAATTTGAAAAAGTTTTGGAAAATATTTTCCGGTGTTCGGTCGCCAACCACCGGCGGTGGCGGTGACTGGCGATGGTGGCGGCCGGTGACCGGCGGTGGCGGGCAATCGGCTGCAGCGGCCGGCGACCGGCAACGGCAACCAGGGGGCCAAAGGAGGAGGCCGGCGGAAAATGTTTTCCTCTTTTGAAAAGCGGAAAAAATTTTCCTTATTTTTCTTCATGTTTTCACTCATTGAGGGAAAATGTTTTCCGCAGGTAGTTTATTTTCCGCCTCCCAAACACCGGAAAATCCGGAAAATATTTTCTTGAAAACATTTTCCACCAAATGAACACAGCCTAACTTAGCTCAGCTTGATTGTACCTTCATATTCTCAAAAGAAGAAGAAGTAATTAAATGTTTTCGGAAATGAATATGACCTCATCCATTTAATCTAATCGTGCACTCAAAGTAACCTTATTTTCTTTGCACATGTTTTGACTTGCGAGGTTGAAAAACCTAATCAGGCGGATGCTACCACTAAAAGACAAAATTAGATAATGTAAAAAATAAAGAAGAGACCTTCTCCCCTCTAAACACACAAAAAAAGAGTAATTAAACGCAAAAGTCGAGATCAAAGGTAACATCTGATTAGCACCAGAAATAATGTCGTATTAAGAGGAAAGCAAAAAATCCTATGGTAATTCCGTGCTTCACTGGAATGATGAACACGAGCAATGGCGGTTCTTTGTATAGACCCCAAAATGATATGGAAAGTTATACACAAGATACACATGATATTCGAAATATCCGTGAGGTTCAACAAATCGCGGTTAAAATCAAGTCAAATACACAACATATGAAACTAAATATATTATTTAATAGAAAGAGTGAATACAAGAGACCTATTCATCGGTGTGGCGCCCCACTGAGCTCTCTGGCTCGAAGTACGTTTGGGTAACTTGGGCATAGACTACTGATTTTCCTTGCGGGCTCAAAGCTTAGGCTTGAGAATCAAATGTATCATAAGCTAATACCAAATCATGATTTCTAAGTGCAATCTGAGCAATAAATTTGGCCAAATTAGCTCAGCTTGATTGGAGTTTAAAATCGCCAATCCTAATGAATGATTAACTTTCTACTTTCTGTCTCTCCCACTTCCCTCTTTCAATCGTCTTCTTCAATTTTGAGCCATGGAGAGGGTTTGAGCTAGTCTCACCATTCTCTCTCTCTCTCTCTCTCTCTCTCTCTCTCTCTCTCTCTCTCTCTCTCTGATTTTCTTTGTGTGTGTGTGTTTTTTTTTGTTTCTTCTTCTCTTCTAATCTAAATTTGCAACTTTTCTTCTTCCAATCTACTTTTAGATCTAAGAGTTTGAACTCTCACAATCTAGCTTACATCGAGGAGCTATCCTCTCTCGATCTAGATTTGAGAGTTTAATAAATTTGTTTTCGGGGATTCGATGCCCCGATGCTCTATCCGTGTACAAGTCTCCACCTTTAATGGTGATCGTAGAAGCATCTCGCTTAACCAGGAAGATTTGCTCTCCCAAATGTTAGATTTGTGTTCATTCAACCTGTTTTAGTTGTCTCTGTACAGTGATGTAGCAAAGGAACCTGAACCTAAGCACACATCACCAATTGGCAACGCCGTAGTTATCGGAGAAGGAATTTCATGACTGACGAAGATACAAGATACAGTGATCGGTTACCGATTATTTTGCTTGATATATCCATTTTTTTGGAATGACCGTGTGATTAACCTGCTGGTTCTATGTTGATGCTCATTAATTTTTGGATTTGACTTTGTTTTGCAGTATTTTGGGCTTTGTTGCGCTTCAAATTGCGTTGCTATGAAGTCTATCTACTTCTCATATATCCTTTTAAGTAATGAATACAATTTTCTTTCAACAAAATAGGAAAACTTAGCTTGATTGTATCCTGTCATTGTTTGACCCCTAGCTCACATATTCTAAAATAAAAGTGTTTAAATATTCCCCGAGACGAATATGTCCTCATCCATTTAATCTGATCATGCATTCAAAGCAACATCATCAGTTTGGGAAAATCAAATGTGACATTTGACACTAAGTGATTGGCCTGGATGAACGGAGATGTCACACTATCCGAAAACGCCCCAAAATTTCGTGGTCCTCTATTGCAAAGACAACCCTAGCTCCGTGCTGCCCAAGTATATCTTTAGTTAGTGCAGTGTCAAAAGCATATAGCGATGGGTCGCTTTTCCTATGCGTGGGCATCAAGTCTTTTGGAATGTCCGATACGAAGTTGAAATAATTGTGCACTTTGTGACTTGTGAGGTTAAAAAACTGAGGTAACCCGCGATGGACGCTGAAGTCCACTAAAAGATATGATTCAGTGAAGTAAGAAAGAAAGTGATTGACGTTAATGGATAAACTGATCCAAAGTGTGTGATATTTGCTGTCGTCGTGGAATCAATCTTCGATGGCAACCCGGACGTGATCTCCTTTTCATTGGTTGCATAAGAACTTTGTCTGAATTGTGGAGCTTGTATTCACTAATGATGTGACATGATTTCACTGAATTTATGAACAAATTATGTATGTTGGTTGCATTAGGTGGTTCTATAGTTCAATGGGCATAAAATCCAAGATATAAAGATCAGCGGCTTAAATTATAGTTGTGTAAAGATTACTAACTGCAAATGCATTGAACAACTTCATTACGCAAAAGCTATTAATCATGTATAAATGTCAATAAATACCAAGATATCAAGAAATTAGTTATACTGATTTTAATATTTTCTCGATGTTTTATTATCTTTTCATATTCGAAAAGTAAATACGTACCGATCCTACTAAGAAAAAATAACTTTTCAACATATCGGGAATTAGTAAATTTGTCCACATGGTTAATAACTCTTTTTTAACGAATAGAAAGTGTAAAAATATGAGTAGTTATACCTATAGGCTATATATACTTTTCAAATATTTTCATTAGTTTATTCTCATTTTGGGAATAACTAGATCTTTCTTTTTCACGTGACTTGTAAAATTCCATGAGAAAACTTAAAATTTCAATTTACTGGAAATTAACAATTTGTACACTCAATTAGTAAAGTATCACATATAATTATAAATTTCCATGTAACTAATTATACTAAGTAACTTTTTCAACTTATTTATTAAATTTTCATAAGAATGTAAATGCGTATTGATTGGTAGCTAATAATTTTTATGTGCTTATAATATCCATCAAAGTGATTTCGTAACTTTTCACGAAAGATTACCAACCCACTTAGAAAATCACTAATTGACTAGCAAAATCAATAATTAATTTATTTTTCGATCGCATTTTTTTCACTCCCGTTTTGACTTATTTATTCCCTGTTATAGTGCTCTGGGCCATAGTACCTGCTTTTCTAAAAAAGCGAGTTCCCCTTTTATTCTTTTCTATTTTTTAATATCGTAGGGTTCTCCTTTTCTTGCGGTCCCACCATGGAGAAGCTCCATTGGCAGCGTCACTTGGTCAATGGACATGGAGGATAAGCTTCATCAGTAGCAAACTTGCTCTTGCCCAAGCCTCTTCCACTAGGGGTGAGCAGTTCCCGATCCGGTCCGGTCCCATTCAAGAACCGGGAACCGGATCGGGACGACCGGTTCCCATTTTCTAGGATTGAGGATCGGACCAACTAGTCTTAGGACCGTGGACCGGTTCCAATAGAACCGATCACGTACCTTTAAATCAGGCTTTCTATTTTAAATAAATAAATGTATTTATTTTTCTATTTTCAAATGGAACCAATCACGTTCCAATGGAACCAATCCTTAAAAAAATTGGTAAAGGTAAGAGGGAATAGATTAGGCTTTCTTTTTTTTTTTTCAAAAAATTTAAAAAGTAAATAAATATATATTTATCAGTCCGGTCCAGTCCGGTTCCCACTCTAGAACCGGAAACCGGATCGCCCGGAAACCGGTTCCACTTTTAGGAATTGGGAACCGAACCGATACTCTCAAGAACCGAACCAAACCGGCCGGTTCGGTCTGGTCCCGGTTCGGGCGGTCCATCATGCTCACCCCTATCTTCCACATTCTTTCTGAAAAAGTGAGTTCCGCTTTTCTTCTTTGCTTTTTGACATGGTGGGACTGCGAGAAAAGAAAGAGAAGAAGCAAGAAAAGGAGAAATCTACGATATTTAAAAAAAAAAAAAGAGAAGAAGAAAAGGGGAACTCACTTTTTTAGAAAAGCAGCGGGACGAGTAAGAGTAATATGATCGTAGCATTGTAAGAGGGAGTGGATAAGTCAAAATGGGAGTAAAAAAAGGTTGACCGTAAAGATATTGTTTGATGTTTGGTTATTTTCTAATGTTAACACCTATTGGCAACCCATTTAGTTATTCATTGTATAAAAAAAATTAGGGATCGATCATGATTATTAGACAAAAATATTCAATTAAATTGCCTCTATATTATGAGCATTTTTCAGTAAGCACATATAATAGTGCATCGGAGTTAATGGACTAAGGCAAGGGGGTTCTGAA